AACGGCTCCGGCCCCCCATTAGCCTGATCACCCACAACTGCCATCCCATCCTGGCCTGATCACCCACAACTTCCCTCTCCTCTTGGCCTCTAACCGCCTCTACCTCAGCCCCGCCACCAAGGCTTTGTCTAGAAGAACGTCCAGAAGGTCTCCTGGAAGGTCTCCCAGTATAATTAGCGTATTACTCTTTTATTAGAATAGATAGAGGCATGGTGCATGGGTGGAGGCCAGATGGTTTGCCCTGAAGGGTGTCCCAAACAAAAAAGGCCATACCCCCTGGTGACCCAAGCTCCCAGCCTCTCGTTTTTTTCCTTTTTTTTTTTTTCAACACCTCCTTGAGCGGCCAGAGCCGGCTGAAAGCAGGTATCTGGGATTTATTTATCTTCTATAACTGAAACTTTGTATCCTTGAGCGGAGGCCAGGGCCAGCCAGGAAGCTTGGCTCCTATTGCCAGGGGCAACCCAAGCCTCCCGCTCACTTGAGCTCCATGGCCACCGCCATCTCAGTTGGGTTAATTTGTATACTTGCCCCTAATTGGCTGGTGGGTGTAGCGGAGAGATGGTTAATTTGCATGTTTCTCTTTTATTAGTGTAGATTTTATATATATATATATATTCAACAGAGATAGGCAATTTCTCTAAAAAAAAAACCACACTACCAATATTTTCACAAAACACAAGCATCCAAACTAATATTTATATAAACAAACTAAGTTAAAATATTAATCTGTAAATTAAAAAAGATAAAATGTATTTTAAAATATAATAATCAAATAATGAGACAAAAGTTATATAATATTTGGTATAATTATTAACAATCATTTCATTTACCTGATAACATCCACTCCCCCAGTCTGGGTAACTCTGCTTCCTTTCACAATTTTCCATGACAAATGCTGATTTCTGAATTAGACAAACTGAATGAGGTCCATACTTTTCAGCACCATAGTTTTTTAAAAGGTCTGAAGAAAACCAGAAAAATTTTCTTAAAAACTGATTTTTGGCTCAAAGAACAAGAAATTGAAGTATTCCATCCTTATGACTAATCGTTGTTTTAAAAACAAACATGCTTAATGAAAAATTTAAATTTAAAATATCAAGAGAAAGAGGCCTCCAAACTTAACCTAGGTTCTCAATACAGAAACTACTGGAGAAAATTATTATACCAGAAACAAGTGATAAAAGTGGATCTGAAGTATTTAAGTTAAATATACAGAGGAAATGGCACTGAGAATCACCTTCATTAGTGGCTTAAATAGCAGTCACTTGCCAAATGACCCAAAATAGGATGAAGGCAACTATTTATATAATGAAAGCTTTTTGGGGGTCTTGCAAGTTTTGCAAAACTCTTTTTGTATTTTCAACTTGTTGCCATCCCCTGGAAGTTCATAAATGCCATGCTGATCTAGTCTCAGACTAGACACAAACTTGCAGAGTGGACTCAGTGACCTCTAAATAGCTAATGGGCAAAGGACGAAGCTCTTAAACACAAGCAATATTTTGCTCTCTTTACACTTAATACAAGTAAGTTACATCTTTTGAAAGCAGAGAGTTCAATTAGCCCATTTAAAAATATTATAAAGATAAGTATTGCCCTGCCATTGTGGCTCAGTGGTTAAGTGTGGACCTATGAACCAGGAGATCATGGTTCAATTCCCAGTCAGGGCAAGTGCCCAGGCTGCAAGCTCAATCCCCAGCAGGGGGCATGCAAGAGGCAGCTGATCAATGATTCTCTCTCATCATTAATGTTTCTATCTCTCTCTCCCTTTCTCTCTAGGGAAGGAAGGCCCTAGTGGGGCAACCTCCCAGTCCTTGAGGACTTTTGAAAAACCTTTCTGGGGAGGCTTTTCTTTTCCCTCCAGCAGCGTGCAATTCAAAGGCGCTAGCTGCGGAGCCACTTGCCCCAGAGCTGCCTAATCTCTCTCCGCACCCAGCTGGATTGAGTCTGGGGCGGTGGGGCGGAACACCCACAGCGGCTGCCGCAGGTGGGATGCTGGCGGGGGTGGGGCATGTACGCAGGGGCCTTGGGGCTGGACCCCCAGCCCCCAGCCCCCAGCGTGCTCTCTGCCTGGAGGCATCCAGCTGCAGACCTCCGACCCCATTAACTGGATCAGTGGTGAGGTGAGGAAATGAAATTTGGGGCGAGTACCATGGGTGCAGTCCCCATGACCTTCCCCTCCCAGGATAATGCTGCACTCCCTAACCTCCCACGTGCCAAGAGATAAATGTGGATTCCAAAGAGGCAGGCCGCCAAGGAGCTTCAGCTGGGGAGGACAAGAGGAGTTACTCACTTCTGACACCCCCACCCTTTGCTTTAAGGCTGCATTCTCCTTCCCTAATACATGCTGCTTGAAGTACACGATGGTTTGTGTTTAGACATGTGATAAACATGGGGAAAGCAAAGTTTTGTGCTTTAGAACAAAAGAATCTGGAGTCTTTGGGTGGGGGTCCTCTCTCTCTCTCTCTCTC